CGTGCAGTAGTTGCGACTAGCGAGAACACATTGGAGGACGCGCGATCGTGAGTCATGCAGCACCGCCTCTCCGATCAAGCAATCACTCAGCCATGAGCACAACGACTGATCAACGGAGCTCAACTCAGCTCAGCGCTACTAGCCCTCGTTCCAGTACCGGAGGTGCCATCGGTGAGGTGTGCTCATGGAATGTCAGGTGGCTGCTTCTCTCGACCGCCACGGAACTCACCTGCAGTGAGCGGTGGGTGTAATTGTCGTGCGTCGACGCCACTATGCTTCGATGTTTTCCCCTCCACTGCCTTTTCATTGTTGATTCTCCTGTCGCTTCTGCTGCTCCCTCTTAGCGCAGGCTCACATCGTCACATTTCTTGTGCATTTTACAGTGCCGCATAATTTATTACTTGCTAGCTCTGGCGTTTAAATGTCGTTAGTCCAAAAGTCATAAAAGAGAGTAATGCCATTTTCAACTATGAATTTCTGTTAGCAATAGAGATTTACTTAGATTTGGCCATGAGTTCCAAAACTAAATCAACAGTTCTTGGCTACTTAAGCAGTAATATATGTCAAGAACCAATTTGTATTTGATAAAACAACTCTCTAGAATAGCTAAGAGCAATCTAACGGCAAACCATGTGACTGGGTGCTCACGTGTGGTGTGGTTGGAAGGAGGCCGGGTTCGGCCATCACAACCGCGGCTGGTGCCCTGCGGTCTCATTAGCGCCCATTCAAATGATCAGCCTCTTATTTTTACGGACTGGTGAGGGATTAAAACATGACGGTAAATATTTTTTGTCATTGATTTCTTTTATTATTGTCTTCTAAACTGCTTGTGTTGGTGCTGTGTTTCGATAAAAAAAAATAAGGAGGAAAGCACGTCCCGTGATGTTTGTTGCAGATCGCATTTTCAGGAATGCATGCTGTTTTAATGCCAGCATGGTTGAGCGGAGACAGCACAATTCATTTTATTCGAGTTCATCCAAACGCATTCTCGGTTCAGCCCGCAGGAGACCCCTCAGAACATAGTTGCCTGCAAATCTACTGCCGATTTATTAGAGGCCTTCTTGTCCCTATTGCACCGTTTTGATTTCAAGCCCGTTTTCTGGTATTTGTACTTGGTCAATGTCGTCATTGGACACGCATGGCATGCAGTAACAACTGCATAGCATTCCATTCCAAATTGCATAACATATTTTGGGTGGAACCAGGAAACAGCTGACAGTATCGCATTCCTGGCGTTAATGTGGTAGACAGTTGAATTTCAGATTCAGTTTACATGAAACTGCAACCCATTAGGGTAATGTTTGGGCAATTAAACCTCCCCTAGACACTTAAGGAATGATCAGAATGCTTGAACTTTAAATTAGGATTTCTCGAGGTTGCTAATGGAAGTTACCTCACTTACGAAGATGTCTAGCTCAACTTTACATCCTCAAATAAAAACCAAATGCTTTTCTTCTAGTGGTAAGAAATTTTTTAATTGTTATTTGACTAGAATACGCCTCATTCTCTGAAGATTTTCTCCAACAGTTTTCTAATCTTGACCAATTTGATCACTTCTCTGCCAATTTGGGCCCATCAACTGCCATGATCATCTGCGCATATCGTCGCCAATTATTTGAAGTTTGTTTGTTTAACTTGCATCTGTACTTAACCAGATAAATTTGTGTTTATTTATTTATTCAAAGAGTTCGGATGCACGCCTTGGTGTGTCCCAGGTAGGGATCGTGCAGCACTCGACACGTCATCCCCCATCTGTGTTAACATCAACGGGTCAGCAAAGCCGAGATTAATTCCACCTGGTGATTTACTGACGTGTGCTCCTGTAACTCGGGCGTCCCTGTCCCCTTCCGACACGTCAGTCGCGAGGCAGGCGGGAGGATGAACGATGAAAACGTTGATAGCACGTCCTCTCCCGTGGTAACAGGCAACGCTGGTCGGTGAAGTAAGCGCAAAATTTCGTTTGACTTTTTAAAAAATGGAATAAGCGAGAAATGGGGGAGGTGGGAATGACGCTACCTATAACCAAAAGCCTTCATATCCACCTTCTACCAAATAAACAAGGAAGTCCTGGGTTGGTCTGTCATAAAGCCTTCAAATCAGGCTTTGTTGGGATAAATCAGACTGGCTTGAGTCTGTAAGGTTAGCCATCATTTATTTCTTTAGAAAAAACTACCCATTACTAAGTTTGTACTTGACAAAAAGTTTAAGAATCAATTGCTTGACTAATTTTGTCTGTGTGGTTTGCATTTAAAAAAATAAAATACATGCGGAGATATAATGCACTGTTAAAGTGTTAAACATTGAAGAAGGAAATCGAGCATGGGATATATCGCAAAATAATTTGTTATTTAGGAATTGTCTTGACACCAAAAACTAGTCGGAGGTGCTCACAAGTTAGGGCACTGCTTGTACCGCATTCACTGGACGTGCTAAGCCGTTTAACTTTGCAGTTGCCTTTATCAGGGAGAGTCTGGCTGTACAAGGATGTCACGGCATCAGAAAGCCCATCAACGAACAAATGCAATTCCATATCTCATGGCTCTTTAGGGTAACTGCTTAATTGTGGCTGTCAATACTTGAGATCTGTGTCTCATTTGGCAGATTGAAAATAAGACAAGTTCAAAAAACAAGATGCCCCCGCCTACACTTATATCGATCTGTGCGAACATTTCTCGGGTAAGCTTAGCGGGGTCAGTCGAGGGAACCAACCCGGCGTTGAGAGTCACATTCGAAAAATATTTTCCAAACTACTTGACCTTTTGAATAGGCGCGTGAACTTCCAAAGAATTACGTTTCTTCGTATTAAAATGAGAATAAGAAATTCTCAAATTAACCAGCATTTTTTAATCACTTGAAGGAAGCTTTCCTCAAGCCGCCAACTGATCGGTGGCGCCTGCTACGGAGAGGTTCAACCCCTGAACGTTGGCTACAAAACCAACAAATATTTAAACTTAGAGTCCCTCGCGATAGAGGCAACCTACACTCATGCGTTCCACACCTTCACGGAACGCTTCGATACCAGGAACTAAGCACTGTGTCCTAATTGTGTGCTGTTGGGTCAAGTTGTGTGTTCAACTCACCTTATGGGTTTTCCAAAAGGAACCAAGAGAGTAGGCTAGCGCACCAATGCTCATTTTGATCGACTTGTCACCGTAAACTCCTGCTTAATTTTAGCACGTTATTCGCTGATGTAGGTAAGGCGGCTACTGCACCGACCAAAGTACAGTGCAACATCGTTAGGCGCTCCCCCTTCCCTTGCTAATAAATAACTACCGTACAACTGTCATGGCAACGCAATCAGGTAACACCGCACTTCAACCCCAATTGTGTCCAGGCCCGAGGTAGCTCACTTCGAAGTGTTTTTTATCATTCAAGAGATCCACTCGCTTGTGAGGCATGTTTTCTACATTTCTACCAAGTAGCCACGAAGGGGAAACCAAATCGTCTCATGAGAGGCAGCACTTTGTGCAATTTTATATTGGAATCCAACCGTCGCTTCTCCATTTCACTGAAGAACCTTCCATGTGCACAGCCTTGCTCCTTTACCCATCACTCTTGGCATGCGTTCAACAAGGCCTTGGAAACCCTCCAATGGCTCCTCACTCCAGTGTCTCTGCGGTGCTTCGCAAAACAGGTCGTTTTTGCCTGTTTCACCCTCATGACAGCATAAGTTGATTGAGGTCAGGACATTGAGATGGCCACCCCTCTGGTTTAATGCCCAGGGAATTCTGCTTCGCGCACTGACCTCCATGACACAGAGGAGCGACTCGTTTTGGGTTGCTGGCACGCGGTATAACATGCTCACGTCCAGTCAACTTCTTATCCAAGTGAATACACTGCCTCTGACGAGTGCCATGATCCCAAAGCTCTTTAGATTTGCTGTTCCATGGCGATGGAAAAACGTCGAACCCAGCGTTGCAGACTGTGCGGTACTTTGGTTGGTAATTTATACCAGGTACTGCGTTTTATACATGCATGTACACTTGACGCCTGCTTCTCAGATGCTTCAACCAGGGCTCGATTTGTCCACCGGGCCTTGCGACTGTCACTTACACGTGATTTGCCCAACGATACTGGTTTTATTTTCCTACAAGTAGAAGTTAAAATTAGCCAACAGCTTGTCGTAAGTAGAATTATTAACGTATACACTTGGAAACAAATAATGCACTAACGAAAATCTCAAAGACAACCAAAATTTGCATTTAACTTTTTCTAAGAGTAATTGAAACTAATCATTTTTGTAATATGCTTGTGTCACTTTACGGTAACTTATGGTGTAATTCGACGAGCAGCACTAATGTACATTTGCGGTGCATTGAATTACGGTAAAAACCACGCAGAGGGACGGTAAAATGCACATTAAAGTTTGTATAAAAAAAAATAATAGTGGAAATAATCAAAATACCCCCCGCATCTGCAAAATTTGTCAGCCAAAAATGACGCATTAACTTAACATGAAACGAGGCATTGTAGAATATCGCACACCGAATACGCCGATGTAATACTTGTGTCATGCCAGAGGTCGTAGGACTTAGAAGTATTTAAAGTGTGCCTATTAAACGCCAGTGCAAACACTGAGAAGATTTAAAGGTCTATACACATTACCATAGTAACCCAAGTGCTCGGAATAGAAAGATGCACGGCGAAGGACATGGAGTGGTAGTGGTGTAGGGACTAGGTCTTGGAAGTGGTAGAAAAGAATATGGACACTTTCCACCTTTACTCCTTCTCCAATTGTCGCAGAGGCTACCCAAAGCATCAGCTGGCGATGATTTCATAGTTCAGGCGCCTTGATCAAGTGCTTAAACTACTGACTCTGTGATGGCACCCTATTTCGAAGTGCTTGGACAAAAGAGTTCAGCTTCAGCGTTTGCTTGAGTAAGGGTAATAAGTCATCTAACAAAGTGCTCTAACACAAGAGCTTTACCTGAGCCAATGACTTTAGTTGCTTTTTTTGTCGATCATCGCCGTCGCAAGCTAACGACTCCCAGCAGGCCAATCTTCTTTAATTTCCAATGAATCACTTGCAGACCACGTCCAGACCAACATTTCTATCCAGAAATAAGGTAAAATCCAAAATAGCCTATTTATTCTCAGGAAATGACTAATAAAGATCATTGGAGTATAAAGTAAATCACGAACCACGAAATCTACCTGGGTTACGTTGAAAAATTCCAACGTTGACAGTTTTCAAACCAGCTCAAAATGTGGGCTGATTATACCAGATGCACACATTTCGTTTAAATACACGCGTGCATTTGCAAGTTACGTCATAATTAAATGGTTTCTTATGGATTACCAACAGCTACACCCGTGTTTCGTAACTATTCTCGGTAACTTAAACAAGACTGCATGTCAGTCGACCGTGGAGCAGTGGTTACTCATGGTTACGCTGAGGGTTAAGCTGAGTACAAATTCCAAGGCAGACATGATCTTAAAAACAGCGGCAAAATTTACTGATTTTTAGTAGCTCATCCCCTATTTCGCTGACTAAACAAACAGTTTCACATGCTTAAGTTTTCACATGCAATGGAGTAGAACCAGAAGTAATAAAGTTGTGCCTTGGCCTGGTTGATGTAATTCAATGTCTCTGGAATTTGCTAAATGTTTAAATTATCCATCAAAAAACCCACAAAAGCTACTGAAACATAATTTCAGTAGGTGCGAAGCTTGAAACGTCCCCATGAAGATGTTTGTGTGTTGCCGTCTGATGTTACGTGGGCCTGGATACAGGCATTGTTACAGGGTGGATTGACCAGCAGGCTGAGCGGTCGGTAGTCGTGCGTGCGGAAGTGCGTCTGTGCACGTCCGCGCTGCGCTACATAAATCAATGACTGCTTTGTTCAAACCGTGCACTGGCGTGACTAAGCGCACAGCGCGAGGCGCGATTGGGCCGTGTGCGCGTGCTGTTTCGTGAGCATAAATCACCATCAGGCAGCCTTTTATCACGATTAACATGGCGCACACAAGCGCAGTCACTCCCACGATGGACGAGAGAAAGTTGGAAGGTGAGTCAACCTCGCGCAGATATTGATTTGAATAAAGAGCAAACAGCGCTAAACGTGATAGCATCCGTATTTTCAAATCTCCAGGACGCAGTAGTCAAGAAAGTTATGCAAGCTCACTCTCACAGCAGTACCTATTATTGAGGCCATAACACCGACTTCAACGACCATTGTATTACAGTTGGGGTCTTCAACACACAAGCAATTTTAATTATTATTACTTCTCACAAAATTGATGTGTAGCTAGACAATTTAATGTGTCAACTTCTCATGGGAGTTTTAATATTTCATCAGCCGTGTTTGGTTCTTGGTGCGATGAAGAAGCCATTCCAATTTCCACAGTGCGTCTGATTTATCCCTCGTTTTCAGGGTGCGTAGGAGGAGGTCCGTATGTGGGCGTGCTGCGCCAGCGCCACGGCCGTGGCGACGCTCGTGGAATCGATGGCCGCGTAGGTAGCCAGAAATTTGTCCATCCGACGCCAACTGCGGCATAGCTCGGAGGCCAACCTTTACACAAAATAGCAGAAATGCGTCTAATGTTAAATCACTTATGCCCAAAATAGAATAGCCTGAGATCTCTTTGACCGCATCGTGCGATCATTGGTAGTTTTGGGCCTCATGGTATAGCAAATCAGGTAGCTAAATATGCTACGATTCACACTATGGCGTAAAGGTTTCTTCAAAAGGCATGAGTTGAAATTAGAATTTACTAAGTTAACGAACATGGAGGGACTCCTTCGGGTTCGACGGTCTGCGACATCACCACAACAGTTAGCCTAAAACAATCGTCATTCTGCCGGTGGACAGCCAAGGCAACGCCCTCCGGTAACTTGCCTTCCGAGAGAAAGGGTGCCTCAATTTTTAGGGACGACGAAGAGTTTTTGGCAGGCCGCAGTTCCCCACATTTCGTAAAGTCATGTACAGTAGTTAGACGCATACTAACTTAGGGGAAGACAGAGACCTCGATAAGAGTTTCTAGAGTTTGGGATGTGGCAAATAGGGTGAAACAAAAACACAGTCAACGATTTTTCTGGCCAATCCCGTTTCGCTTCCCAGTTAGCAGTTCACCCTCTCCAAGGGCTTCTTCCACACATGAGCTTGTGCACGAGCACCCGCCCTCAAGTGTGAACGTGTTGATAGGATAACTTATTGTCTTCTAATGGTGCGCTATGCTTTCATTCACGACTTTCAATCGCAGCACTGGAAATTGTTACATCAAAATGGAAAGTCTTTTTGCACCGCTAATCTTCAAGGAACTCAAGTGCTAATACCAGCGAAATATCAGCAATAATTAGACCACACTGAAACAAGCAATAGCGGTACCATTCATTCGTGCGATAGGCGGACTGAATTTGAGGACTGTTGTGGTAGCATTTGACTGAATAAAGTGAGGAGAATTTATTTTCCATTTTGTCAACTGAATGGATTAAAGGAGGTATTTCTTCGGTTGTTTAAAAAGGAAGACAGGGCAGCTCCTCAAGGCCTGCTAGAAAATAAACACGCCAGGTTTGACCTCAATCAGTTAGTCGCACGCCAAATTGACAAAATGGATTATCCGTTGTCAAAATGCTTGTGGAAATGGAATAAATAATTACTTCGAGCAAAGATTCCTCGAATACAAATCGCAGAGCCTTATTTCGTCTAACAATATAAAAGTTTTTTTGTTTTGTTCCCATTTTAAAAATATTATTTGAACGAGCAGCCACCACGCCAGCTGAGTGCGTCTAGAGCTTCCTGTATGGCTAGGCTGACTTCCGCCGTGGATGTGATTGCGCCTAATCGACATGAGCTCGCGTGCTGCCATAACTTGACAGTCGGTTGGGTCGCGGAGGCGCGGGGACCGCATTGTCGCCGCCTTTGATGTCCCCAAGCCGTGCGGTAGGTGTGTGTGTGTGCATATCGGCGCGTCACGCGGGAACCGGTCGCAGCTCTCACCACCAAATCCGCTCGCCGGAGTACGTGGCAGGAAGCCGGAAAGCTCCAAATGCTGGAATCAAAAATCCTGCCCCCTGTCTTGTGCTGTGTGTCCTCGATATGAATGCGAGTTGTACAAAGTGACGTAGTCAATGAGCACACAATGCTCCGATTCATCGATTGCAAGTCACCGGCATCGATCGGCCGGAGTACATTGGTTGCGCAGGTAATGTTCTGGTACTACCTCAAGGACATATTTTTCGAATTCAGTGAACTCTGAAAAGTTAAAATAGCTGAGTTCACATGCGTACAATGTTGTAGACATGGTGGGGTTAAGCCACGCAAGCTGTGACTAGTGATTATCGACATTGAATCTGCCAAAACTACTTCAACATGGTGTGTGAGAGAAAACGGGCCATTTGGAGTGGTAATTAAATGAAATTTGCAGAACGAGGGTTTAGGTTTCACCATTTCTTCGCTGATTCAAAAACCTTCGTTTAAATTCTTTTAAAAACCAACCCAGCAGTTACCTTCAATTAATGCAAAAACTATGCAGAGTATATTTTGCAATTTGAGTCACCCATTAGTGATACCCGAAAAATCAGCAAAATGGGCTTCCCAAGACTAGCATTGACTTTGCGCCTTTCGTTTCCAGTAAAGTTAAGCAGATACAAAACCTTAAAGGTGCCAAAATGTAAACTTGCGTGTTGGTGTGCCTTTGCAGCAGAGATTCATGAACAAGCAAGGTAAAAAGACTGACGCTTTACTGGCTAAACTAAAAACGGACGGCCTGCACCTGGTACGATTTTCGGCACAAGAAATGATGTCTAGACTAGAGACAGGGACAGCGTGTGTGTGTGTGTGACGTCCATACTTCTCTGTGGCATCTCATTGACGCTGCAAACGCGGGGTGATCATTTGCCACATCAAGAGAGGTAATTGAAGCCTTTGAAGTCTGCCGCCCAACTCAATCAAAATCTAAACGTCTAGACCAGTAAATTGCGCCTTCTAGCGTGCACTGCTTCACGCATTTCGTTGTCTCTCACCTACGTATGTAACTCTGCTTACCACAAGTACGATTCTATGAACAGCAAGGAAGTTCCTTCGACTATTTTTAATGTTGGTACGACAGTAAACTTGCTGGCTTACCAGCGAAGTCAACACAGCCTAAGAACTTACGTCACAGCTGCTAACACTTCGTGCTAGTGACAGTCAAGCGCTTTCATAATTGAAACTAGCTCGTTTTTTGAGTTGTGTAGGCAATTTTAGTCATCTGGTGGTCATTTGTGAAGCTTTGGAGATACCTGGACACGCGGCTTGGTTAAAACTCACCAGGTGAGAGGTCTCCGCTACTTACTCAATCAGGGCTAATTACTGGTTTCGCTCCAGAGCCTAATTTGTGCGTTCTATGTTTTGTGAACACGTAACATGCCGCTTTAACACCAATGGCCTCGTCCCTTCGGTACAGGTCGGGTGCAGCATTACCAATGCAGTTATTTTGCAGAAGCTGTTTTCATGCATTCCCCTCCTGCGACTCTGAAGACGTCAAGGGCCAGAAGCGAGGTGACAGCAAAAAGGTGGTTGGTAAGGGGCGCCCGATTTGGTTCGCCTCGTGAACTAACTTTCGTTTGCTTTGATGAAACTTTAACCTATGCTGCTGGAAGGTATCAGCTTTTAGAGACTCATCGTGGCCTCATTGTAAATTGATTAATGCTTTGGCAGTAGTCCGTGTTTTCATAAACATTGCGAAGCTAAAGCAAACGCTGAAATGAAGGCCTTGTCTGGTTATGATGGAGTCTTGTAATCGTGTTTCTCTGATAGCCATCTTCTGTCTGTTGCTTTTACTTCAACTCTTCTTTTCCTTCGGCTAGTCACACATCTATCCCCTTTCCTATTGACCATTTTTCAGTATTTATGAATTAGTTGTATTGACATTATCACAGCCTTTTGGTAGACGACAAAAGAGTGCACCATGTGGGCGTTTGCTGCTGGAAAGATTTATTGTGTGAGGGACTGGTTCCCACATTTCCATTTTTTCTATTCTTATTTGCCCCTTTCTTCTAACCTCAAGAGGAAGAAAGGTGTAGGGCTAGCTTTGGCTTTTCGGTACTTGTCAAGCACTCGACACCGTCTCACACAATTACCCAACTGTCTCATTCCAGGCGACTTGAGTATCAAAGAAGCCTGTGCTTATTCAGTTGGAACCCAAACGATGCCGATTCTGTAACAGTGGTAACGCTTCGTTGTATTTCGCTTCGTAGAATGCAGAAGCGGAGACATTTATATCGCACTGGAGCTCGACTGCCACGAGTGGGATGGGCAAGGTTCCACGCTGTCAGAATATGCATGGTTTATTTATGCATTGCCGTGTGAAGGGAGGCCAGAATGGCAGGGTGGGGTGGGGGGATTCCATCTAGCGATTGTTGCATCTGAAGAAGTGATGTTGGTTCCCATAAACCATCACCTCAGGAAAGTGTGCGCCGTGCTACCAGGATTTCTCGCGAAAATAAGAATATCATCTCTGGCTAACAAGCCAATCATGCAATGAACTTATTCTGATAAAAAACCCTAAAAATTAGTGCTTGCATAACCAGATTTACTAACACGTTTTGAGTCCACTCGACTCGAAAATTGACCAAAGTCGCATGTGAGGCACTAAATAATAACTTGGTCACGCTGTGAGAGTTGGTGCACGCTTAATTATTTTTTTCATGAAATTTTTGCGAATTGCGCCTAGCGAGTTGACCAAAAGAACCTCCTTTCAGGGCTGGTAAGTAGGTACTATAAGTGACATTGCTATTTACTTCTAACGTGGCCTTAACGTGGATCTGCACTTTTGTGATTCGCAATGTTTGGACTTTTGTGCAGCAACTGAGCCTGTGGCAGTAAGTCGTTTCTTTTCTTCAATATCCAAATGATGGAATTGTTAGAAATATGACAAGTCAAGTTAACTTCTAGGTTTTCTTCAACGGTCGCACCTACATGAACTTGCTTTCTACAGAAGAAGACTCATTACACCTCCTCGAATCACCCCACCTATGCCTGAAATTGGGGTGTGATTCTGGTTTCAGACAGGCTGTCTTGCATTATACAATCAGTCTGTGCATTATTTCGCATCTGTTATTACTAGCATTGAAACCGTCCTTCTTCGCCGATGGCTCTGTAATTGTTAGTTAAATGTCTTCTAGTTCTACCAGGGTCAGTTTTTTCGTCGTGAGGAGCTTCCTTCTCCAAAAAAAAACAAATCTAACCACACGCAATGCCTTCATTTTTTCTACTCAATTCCAGTAAAACACGCTTAAGCTGTTAAAATACATCCAGCGGCCACAAAATTTTCCCGCTTCACGTTCTGACATTATACTGAACCCAACTAAATTGTCTTCTGTTTCTTCGTCTATAATTGCCTCTCCTAAATCTGAATACTGCCATAGGGATGGACCAAGCCCTTAAAGAATGTCTTAGGAGGCCTTAAAACTGGGATATGTCGATTGATTGCAGGTTATATATGCAATTTTCGAAACGATTATATACTTGAAGAAGCCTCTTCGACACACCAACTAACAAGTGACCCAGGTACCGTAGTTAATATTGAGGTGAGTAGGCAATTATTTCTGCAGTTCGTACTTAGCTTACAAGAACAAAATCATGATGTTTTGCCTGCAAAGAGTTAATGTTATTGAAGGTCAAAGACCAGCAGGCTTTGGGACACCCGATAATAAAAGTGGCTATCAGATGGTTTTCTCCGATTGCCCATGGCATCTGTAGCATTAATCAGAACTCGTTCAGCAAATTTTGTGGATTAAATGAAGACATGTACTGCCTAGTGCATCAGCGAACGATGACGAGGGAAACAACAGAAAAGATAAAATAGATAACGAGCCAAATTTTAAAAGAATTTTGTTGCATAAGGCTATGATATTTTGCAGATGGTTTTTCCTTCACAAATTGCTGCTCAAGTTGTGCCAAATTTACACGCCAGAGCTGGCAAGTAATAAATTATGCGGCACTGTAAAAATGCACAAG